AACTTAGTAGATTTGAGTGTCCAATCTGATTTTCAACCTACATTTGGCAAAAAGACTTGTATATTTATATAGTTGTATGTTGTATAAAACCGGATGATAAATACTCTTGTCTATGTATATGTATATATATATGTATAATATCTAAATTGTTTAGAAGAAAATCACCCCAAAAGAAGAATGTCACTCAACAATGATCAAAAAGAGTTAATTTTTATCTAAACGTTCATCATATTCATGTTCTTCATCTTCTTCAGGAACATCTTGTGGTGTTGTATGACGAAGATTACCAGAAGCACTAATCGATCCACCTCGATTAACTGATGTACTTTGACGTCGAGCTGCTAAAACTAAAGGATGTGTCATACCTTCAGTATTAAGCTGACTTAAAGTAAAGCGCCTAACACTTCCAATCCATTCATCTGTACGATTATCTAAATTAGGTTTACGTGCAGACTAATTTTTGGGGAATAAAATAAAGTTAGTGTATGTGTAATATCAACAATCACACCAAATATCCAAGGGAATAGATACGTGCAGGATAATTCAATCAAACATTGGATGTTCACAATTATTGAGGATTAATTATACAGATTAGATGAACATGCAAATAATTATTTTTTTTTCAAATAATGTTTTTTTTTCAATTTTATAATCAAGCAAAAAAGGGAAATGTTTACATACAACACAGGGATAAATGCAGCGGGGAAAACCAATTTAAGGGAGAGAAAATTCAAAAAGGATTCAGGAAAAGACAATATTATACATTTAATGTATTTTAAAACCGTTAGTATCAATAAACCGGTTAAGCATACGAACATATAAAAAAAGAAGCAAGGATATATATGTATATACAGATAGATTCATTCATTCATTCATGAACAAAGGTTATTACAAGACAGAAATAATGATTAAGTTCAACAAACAAAAAGATTCAACATATCATGAATAAAAATATTAATTAGATTATTATTAAAAGATAAATAAATGTTTTATGGAACATTTAAGAGAAGAAAAAAATGAAGCATAGGGTTTAAGATAAAGAATAACAAAAATAAAAGAAAGGAATATATATTTTTTCATTGTATTATTTAAAGGATAAATAAAAAGGCATTCAAATGCAGGTCAAAGGTGAATTGGTGTACAGGGTTTGGATTGTAAAAACAAATAAAAATAAAAACACATCAAACATAATCATATAAATTGATATTAAATATATCAATTGTATTATATATATATAAATGGTATACCAAATGTGATTAAACCATTATGTTTTTTTGTAATTATTATTATTTTCAAAAACGATGATTACGTGAATTGTCCGATTCGAACCACATATATGGAGAGGGATAGGATATTACAAATGAAAGAAAGAAAAGGACAGGAGAAAGAAAAAAAAACAACTGTCAAGTTAATGAACTTAACTAAATTTTACAATGCCATTTCAACAGATTTAGATTTATTAAATAATTTTAATTATGAAATTGTAAAAAAAAACTATAAAAAAAATCATAGTAAAGATTATTCACCTTTTTTTACGTATCAAATAGATATAATGAATAGTGAATTAGGTTATTAGTTGAGATGTGAAATATTTTTATTTAAATATAATGTAAGTATTAGTACTACTAGAACTTAACGAGTGAATAAACTAATATGTGTTTTCTAACAATCATATGTGATTATGTCTATATTGGTTTAACATTTTATTTCTTAGGAACTAAAGTTTTTGAGATGATAAAAAAAATCAATGTAATAAAGAATGGTAACATAAGCTGTTTTGATGTCAAAGTATTAATTAATATAGAGGTTATATTAAATCTACAGAATAGCAAGAATGTAGCAGTTTCTCTATATTATTACACATACATTATTGTGTACACAAATTCCTACTATTGAATAGAATTGAATAGCTCAAAATGTGATTATTAAGTCATTTTTACCTTTGTAATAATTATTCTATTCATAAGGAATTATGACTTTCAGTACATATAACTTTTATTTTCATGTTACTGTGGCTCTGCACTTATACGTTTCATGTGTTATTGTATGTGTCTGTACACTTATTTTATCCAATGCCAGTCTCCTTGTTGCAATATGCATTATCTGCTTTGAGTTATACTAATATCTGTTATCAGTAATACTTTAAGCATGACCATCTGGCTTCTTCGTTTTTCATCCCTTCGTTCGTCTGACGAAATGAATTTATGTAATATAAACATTTGAAACATTTGTAGATAACATTTTGTATCCGCATTATTCTTGACAGGATTTGTAGACAGAACATGAGCAAAGTATACACTTTGTTTACTCTATTAACAATTCGATCATAATAGAGTTAGGAAACAACCACTTTAAAGGATTTTATCATGTAACATTAACTAAAAAACCTGTGAAAACGACAAACTTAACTCATGATGAAAATTAATCTTAAACTTTAAGAAAAGTGATTCTACAAAATTAGTATTGAACAATTATCAATAAATTAGTCAATTTAATTGGCAACTTTTTAAAATATTTCTCTACATTAAATTATTACAAAGGATAGATGTTCGATAATAAATAAAAGATTAATGACACCAAATAAAACTGTCATTTAAATTTATTCCATGAATCGAATCATTTAAGTTTTGATTTAAGAAAATTATTTTTTTAAAAATTTTTCTCCAGAAAATATGAAATACTTCTAATGAACTTTTTAATTTGAAAAAAATATCTGTACACATCCTAACACTATAATGATTTAATTCAATCATATAGTGTTACTATTACAGTTATAATATACATACAAGACTGTATCAATTATGAATTTAGAATGATTATCCATGAATCTATTCAGTGTGCTATATGATATCAGCGTAGATGATTAGTTTTTCTTCATTTTTTTCTCGTTAATTTCATATAATTTTGATATAAGAATTTTAAATTACTCAACCAATACCTTTTTGCACAAAATTCACTTATATTATTATGTGTTATATGTACACCATACAAACCAAGCATTAGAAAAAAAGTGTTTTCTTTTTCAACATTTTTGTTAATTTAATCCAAATGTTAAAAAGAGCAAGAACAAAGATTGATGCACTCATCATCGTGTGTATGAAATTAATCCAAATGATTAGAATGTAAACAAAACAAATGACATTAAATATAAAATATGACAACATATGAAACGATTTAACATTGAATATGAAACAACACTAATTAGTTTAATTTCATAGATTCAATTTATTTTATGCATATGATTTCATCATCATCATCATTATAGTAATGATGTATTCATTAGTAAGAGTGATGTTTTCAAAAAAATAAACAAAATGAAAATATAAGAAAATATTAAGAAGAATGTAATTCATTTTATGTTGTTTACAAAAATATATCATTTTTATTTATGAAGTGATCATGTTTAGACAAGTAAATTTGAAGTACAATAAACATTTAAGAAATACAAACAACAACAAAAAGAAACAATAGTAAGCAGACAAAGTGTTTTCATAATCTGATCCTTGTTTCGTTTGAAATTCGTGCATTTAACAACAGAATACGACATTAAGTATACATAGTATAGAAAATTACTGAACAACTCAACTGGCTTACATAAGTTAACATTTAATTATGTAGTTGAGTGTACATGAAGTGCTTATTTTTATTTCGTCGTTAGAATTGATTTTTTTAAAAATGATTATTTGTCAAACAATTTCCTTTTCAGATTAAACCGTAATTCATGCAATAGGGGCAGTTGGTTATAATCAAACATGAATATACATACAGTATTGCCTTGCTTTTTCTCATCTCATACATAGAAATACGCACATACAGTCAAGGTAGTAGTCAACGGACGTCCTCTACTACTAAGTGTTTTCAAGCAAAATAATTCACAGTAAACACTAATGTCATTATCATTAATATTAACTTAGAAGGATTTAGTACTTATAGGTTGCTCTATGATTTGACCACCTATTTGGTATTTATAAATTTATTTATAAAAAAAATGTTTATTTATAAATTTATTTATTTTTAGCATATTTCGTTTACAAATGTTGAAACTAGATGTCATGACAATTGTAATTATGTAGAGAGTATATAAATCTATGAAACAGAGGTTTGTCTTTATATTTCAGAGTAATAACATCAAGGCATTTATAGACTGATTTAAAAAAAAATTAAATATGCCCAAACATGTGGTATTCGTTATTATTGTCAGGTATCACCTGAAGTGTATCAAAATAAACTAGTTTGATATTGATGAAATGTATCAGAATCTGGAAAAATATTTCAATAATTTAATGTTTAATATACGAGAAATCATATATTCTGTAGTATTTCTGCACTATGCAGTAGAAATCTTATACTAGAAGAGATCTACATATACCTTAATTTTACAGAAAACAATGAGATCATTTACTTCAAGAAGAATGCTTGAAATTTTTTCATATTAAAAGAGGAATATAACAATGTAGACTTACGGAATGAAGTTTTATTTCAAAGCAAAACCACATGCTTATTAGATAAAAGGTGTTTATTTCAATTTGTATATAACATATCTTTAAATATGCGAATAATGATATTCAAATTAATACTGGAAATGTAGATTAGTTATATCTAACAACGCAAAACAAATTACGTTCAACGTCCTTGTGATATCTGAAGCAACATCATGAATGATTTTCTGTCACCCACCGAACACTTCGCTTTTCATGAATGAAGTAGTTGTGTTTCTAACACTTGCTATCAGAATTATTTTAAGATATCACACACAACATAACTCCTTGTCTTCCTTTAGATCATAAGTCCCAAAATCTCATACTTTTTTTCTATATATAGGTTGGTTTATACTCCTACTGATACTGTTACTATTTTCAGTTCTCCGAGATTTCTAGAGGTTGTGTTGATGATTATGTGACTGCTTGAAGTAACCCATATATTTGTCAATTGATTAGATGCATAAGACTAACTAACTTAGTGACATTATATCATATAGCTTATTTACTAAAAAAACGTACCTGTGTTTGTAATCTTGATAAGCCTCGAATCCATAATATTTGGCCAGTATTACGTAGATTGGCACCAACTATATCCTCTCTATCTTCATCATCTTCTTCTTCATCTTCCTCTTCCTCTTCTTCTTCTTCCTCACCTTCAGGTTGTGTATAAATTGCACCAAAACCACGAGCAACCGCATTTGCCGCTTTACTAACAAAACCTGTACTAGCTCTATGCACCACACCACCATCTGCAAGTTGTGGATGTGCAAAATCTTGAGTAACTAGACCGTCTGTTTCCATTCCCAATGCATCTTGTGTTGCAATTAATGTTAAACGTCTTGACTTGGCTATTCTACGTTTTCTCTTTGGTATTATCCATACTGGTATTGAAATAATGACCTTGAGTTAGAAATAATGAATGGTGAAAAAAAGAAAACGGAATGAATTGTTTCTCACATCTTTTCACATCAGAAACGGGTTTTTTGAATATTATAATAATTTAAAAGTCGAATTCATGAGTTAATTAAAGCTAGACCACAATGAAATGATAGGTCTTTGGTCCGAGTCCCGTGAGCGAGATTGTGGACTAGCACTGCTGAGGAGTTCCATACTAGAACGAAACGGTTGTCCAGTGTCTCCAGGTTTCCCATGGTAGTCTAGCTTCAATTGACTCATGATCTCAACTATCGAAATAATAATAATGATGAAAATAATATCAATGAAAACTTTTAACAAACCTGACCCCAGAGTAGAGTGCCTATTCCAAAAAATAAACACCATAACCAATGTTCTAAAGCTAATGGCCGTGTGCTAAATGCATAGCCACCAAACTGAATAATTACAACCTAGAAAGATAAAAAAAGTATGCAAAAAGGTAAAACTCTCAATGAATATTATTTCAATTAAGTTCATGATCACAGGAAAATTAAATAAGTTTCTTTTATTTTCAATACATTGAATAAAAAAAACAGAATAAGTTAGTGTAAATAGTACATTGAGAGTACACTGTTTAATATTATTTCAGTCAGTCAGTCATTCACAACGTAGGACTAGACATAAACATGCATCAGTCCAAGCTGCCACACCTCATTAGCACAGCAAATCGAACACTGGATTCATAGAAGCAGTTAACTCAATGGTGTAATATATAAAAGAAAGAATTTATGTAAAGATATAGTAAAGAAAGGAAGAATTAGTTCGTCGGAAGAAAGATATGAAATAATTTTAATCTCATAGTTTAAGGGAAAACAAAGAGTGTATACACCGATGCCATTGTGATCGATTCTGAGCCATGCCACTCACAGTCTCCAACCATTGGTTACGATAGTCAGAAAATAATCAAACACATTTTCTGGCCTAAACATATCTGTCAGCTTCCTCATATCGACAGAAACTCTGTTAAGAATCTATTTTGAAGTGGCTTTCGACATTACCCATTTTTGTCTTTTCTGAAATCATATATGATACATTCTTTATTAGCAATAGTATTCTGGAGATAAAGTAGTAGCAATTCTGAATATTCGTGGTGTATTGAATGTTTTCTGAACCCGATGTAACTTAACACGTCATTTGGATTTCTAAGATTAATAATATCAATATACTTAAATACTTATCAGTGGGATGTAAATTTTCTGGTGAAATATAATTTAAAATATTAAGGGTAATGTGAAAGAAAATTATCTAACATGAACTATATGTTCCCAAGATTACTTAGTTCAAGAATACATACTAAGATTGTAGAGTAGAAAAGAGGTAATAAGTATCGTTTAATGAACATATTCCTTAGGATAATATTGTTTTTAATTAAATTCTGAAATTCTCTAATAGTCTCTTATTTATTTTCAACGTAAACACACCTCTTAGCAAACAAGGAACTTTATTTTCATTTTAAACCTTACATACCTGCTATCAAAAGGAAACTTTTTTACATAGAATTGTTTATCACATTATGCATTTCAATGAATAAACACCTAAATACAATACAGTGTTATACTTCGTTTCAGTGATTAATTTTCTATCTGGATTGACTACTGGTTTAGCCACTTATTATATCCTGAAGATACAACTAGTTACTTACCTCTATATAACTGAACAAGGACTGATATCACTAAATATCAAAAACAGTACAAGAGTGCAGATGAAGATCTACTTATATGTTAACTATAAACCCATAACTAATTTATCAATGGTTCAGAATTTGTATCAAAATAACAATGAGTTTTATACGATTTACTTATCTGGTCAATCGGTAAATTGGAGTACAGGGAATAAGTCAGTAGTTGATATTATTTAAACAACAACAGTTTACAGTATCAACAGATTTATCGATGTTAACGAACAATCTAATAAATTACTTAGTTGTAAATCTCTTTACCAATGTTATCACATATAACTGAAATGAGATTAGTGCAAGTAACTATTTGAAACGTTCATAAACAAAATAAGACATCACTTTAATATTTCACTCGGCAAATAATTGGTCTACTTCATAGATGCTTAGAATGTTTGTGAATCAACATATTGAAAAACCTGATAATCCATCCACTTTACTTGTTTGACGTACAATTTTATATTAAAAACATTTCATCATCCAATCATTATCAGTATACTACGTTTTGAAGTTGGTAATAAACATTGTTAAATTTTCCAACATGAATTAAACAGGTATATTTGAACCAATAGACTAATTGAAGATATTTTGAATTCCCTTTTAGAGAACTGTTTGATGCAATATAGGCTTCATTAACTTTGTAGTAATAGAAATGTCAATAAAAAATTTATTTCACAATGACTGATGACTTAAGCTATTATGAAGTAATGAATTACTGAATTCTTTTTGTTTAAAAGTATTATTAAATGAGTAGAGACCAACTCAACGACTCATTCAAAGAAAATGGCTAGCTTATAGTTGATTTTCAGGATAAATTTTTCGTAATTATTAACGTTTTGGCATACATATCTCATAGATATCACTGGTATTTTTACGTATTTACTATATGTCTTATCGAATTTCCCTGTACTATGGGTTATTTATATCCACACAAGTAGTATATGACGGTGGCCAGGCACTAAATGTATTTCAGTAGAAGGTCAATGAGGAAAGAACGGGAAGAGAACGCAATTGGTATGAAAATGCATGAACAATCAAACTTGAAAAAATGGATTGATGTTTGCAACAGGAACAGTCAAGTTTGAAACGATGGACTTATATTTTGCAAATTAACGATTCACTGTATAGTTTTCAGATTTTAGTGAGATGCTCTGTAATTTTGTGCTCAAATACGTTCGATTGTTTCCATTCGTGTTCTTGTTCACTACACCTTCGCTGAGCTTATATGAATAGGCTAACTGGATTGATGGATAATCACGTCAAGTGTTATATTTTCTATATCTGCCTGATTTGATATGTTCTTTTTTCTTTCATTAAAACGCTTAATGGCAGTATGGTTAGTTAAGTATTTATATTTCTGACTCTAGTATGAGTCTGAGAAAAAAGTTGGTACAAATAATCATAAACAGTATAAAAACAAAAAGCTACCTATTCCTTTATATTTAGAGGTAATGGGATCGTATACACTTAAAGCTGCTTAAAGATTTCATGTAAAAAACCACCCCAAACAGATATCTAGCTTGCAAGCTTTATTATAATTCATCACTGACAGACGATTATGTATAGTGAACAACGAAGGATTATACTTTTTTAGATGAGCATTAAAATGATGTATGTGAAATTCAGTTTTAAAAATGATTATCGTAACAATGTAAGAATAGAACTGTGTCCTAGTAAACAACTAAGTAAGAAAACCATTCTTACTAATATTTATTCTCCGAAGGAATCAACTTACTTGTAGTATAAATGTCGAAATCCAAATTATAACAAATAATAAATTGTTAGTTAATCCAGAGAATATATTTCGCTGTCCATGAATTTTTCTAGCATTAATTTCATTAAATAATGTCATCATAACAAATGAATTGAATATCACAGTAAAATGTTCTGTTGGACGATTTATACCTTTAGCACTTAAACCACGACCATTTTCAACATCTAACAGTAATTCACCTGAGAGGAAAAGTACATAGGTGAAAACATTGTAACAATAAAAAGCACACATCGAACAGAAATATTAAGGGTTTCAAGAAATAAAAGAATGGTCATAAAATAAAGAATACAAGTAAATGTAACACCAAAATTAATTTTTAATTGATGCGGTGAATTAACGTCGGTTGTTTATGAGATCACAAATCAGGACTTTCACGTCTCACATAGTCACAATTAGTGACCAAATTACACAACTACACTAAATTCATTATTATTGACCATTTATACCTCGTATTATTGTCATGTCAAACAAAGTATAGTTAATGGAGTACTAAGAAAATTTACATAAGCAGGTAGAATCAAATTTTTGTCAAGTAAATATGTCGCATATCTAAATGGGGGTTTGTGGAGATTGTAGTAATTTAATGGTTGAATTCATGAGTCGATGTAAGCTAGACTACCATTGGAAACCTGGAAACAATGGACGGGCCTTTCGTCCTAGCATGGGATTCCATGGTAGTGCTCATCTGCAAAACCGCACACCGGACTCAAATCGAGGACCTTCGGCTTCGCGCACGAACGCTTAACCTCCAGGCCATTGAGTCGCGATCCAATGTTGGTAATGTATCACTTCAACCAATCCATGACATTGAGCGACCGTCCACTATTGTCTTCAGTAAGTAACTACCTCAGTTACAACAGCGTTTCCTGGAGTTCTGGTAAGAAGCCGTGACCAGTGGAGTTCAAACGTGTCTGTTATGAGGCAGTTACTCACTGAATAAAATGATGGACGGTCGAGCAATATCTTATTGTTTATCTATTTGTTGATTGATTGTCATGAGCTTAAAATGATTTACTAAATGCAAATATTTATGATAAGAAGTAGATTCGAAGAAACGTTATATATATATATATGAGGCTTGACCATAAGTTACGATACATTTTGTTTGAAGTCCTGAAATACTGGATAAATCATTTTATTTTCCCTATTCACAAACACATGTACTGCAAAAGGAAAACTCTATTGATGTGACTCATTAAATAATTGAAAGGCAGTCACTTGAAACGAAAAATGAAACTGGGAGAGTACGTCGGCAATTTTTTTACTAAAATGTGATAAAGATTAATTTATTCAGAAAGTAATTTAACAATGGGAAACAGAACACATTTGACGAATATTAATATCTGCATTACAAATAAAATTTACGTTGTTAATTTCAAAGTACTCCAACAACAAGCATCTAAAAATTTATTTGCAATAGTTTATTAATCCAATAACTTGGTATTACAATCTGTTTTATATAATGAAACCAACATTTTTCGAAAAGAAAATGAAACTTCATGGCTTTATTTCATCTCGATTTTATCTACTTAAAATATATTAAGTAATATAAGTGCAACGGACAAAAATATACTCGAATTCATAGATCAGAAAAAAGTACTATTTTGATTTGTCGTTATTGTAACCAGATTTAAAATAAATATAATTTCAAAAATTAAACAACAGTTAATAAGCAAGTGCTTGACATACCGAACCATATTAGAAAGAAAATAACACTTAGTTGATAAATAGACTGCCCGATGATATTTTTAATCATATTACGACTGATAATAGGCTTTGTTCTACCATATGGAGCTCGTTCAAGTAACTCTTCTGTTGGTATTTCGGTCGCCAAGGCTAATGACGCCAAAGTGTCCATGATTAAATTGACCCATAACATTTGAACAGCCTTAAGTGGGCTATCCTGTTTAATGGACAATGAAAATGTAATTATAAAAAATAATTGTTTATTTAAACCACATAACAAACTAGTTTGATTAAACTCTCAAATAAGCATAAAATATAGCTTCCAGATAAGTATAATAACTTCATTTAATTTACACAAATATTTCTTTCAATCTTCTTTGTAAGTATGCATATCATCACAAACAGCAGAAGTATGTATCTGAAGATATAGCTTCTAATCGTTTTACATTCATTGAAGACGTTTTTCTTATTTTTCTCAACTTCATTATAGGCACAAATAGTAAGAGTATAATATGCTGATAATCTTGGATAAGCTATCAATCAATCAGGCAATGCTAAATAAAACAATTAACAACCAAAAGCAAAAAAATAACTGTGAATAACAGATCTGATCTGAACTATTAACCATCATATTGCAAACTATTCTTTAAAGTAAAGGCTGGAGTTTTGAGTTGGGTTCACAAATTAGAGTTGGAGTTTTCATTCCAGACTGACATTTGTCATAATGAAATGTTCAGCAACCATTCTGTTTACAGACTTTAGAAACTTAAGGTTGGAATTTTTATAAAGAGTTAAGTTCACTAAACACTCTTAACTACTCATTAAATCAAACTAACTACTTAGACACTAATACTAAGTACGTTTTGTCATCTAGTTTACCCACCATCTCAGAACCACATTTTGGTTATATCATAGACATTTTATTGATCCCGACAATTCAAAGAATCAACTATTATCGCTTTTCATCTGGCTATTAATAACATACAAGTTATCTATCACTGTACTTTAAATTTCGCGTAGCATACTTGAGGACTTATCTTGATTCTGATTGGTATATTCAAGTCTGCCAGTATTTTTTAATTACATCAGACAAACAGGAAGTTCAATATTCATCATCGATTCTCTCTAATTGCCTTACAACTTTTCCTATCGATTTACGATTTAATAGAGTTGAAATGCTAATTATATTAGTACTGATATTTTAAAAATGTATTCTATAAGTGTATAGTTGCCAACCATTCTTCCGTTTCGTTAATAAACGAAGACTGTGTTGATACATCTAACGATTTAAAGTGAGTCAAATGTCAAACCTCTGAATTATCATTGATCCGCTTTGTGTCTCGCATATTCACGATCTCAATTTTTCACATTTGAATTACATTTTAGAAATATCTTAGTATACTGATATGAAGAAAAATAATTATCAATGCTTAGTCATGCGAATAAAAAACGTCCGTACTGATATAGTGAATGAGAACACTGGTGGGGACAACCAGAATCTCTTATTAAAATCTGAGGACCATACAATAAATTCTTTATTTGCAAAATGTCAATCAATTATCTCAGATTTAACTGTTTCTTTGTTTGTACACCAATCATTCTTTGTTGCCGTTTTCTTCTCTTAGATTTTCTCAACCTCCAGCCTTCAGGTATTCCGCTTTCGGTTGGTGATACATACTACTTATATCTGTCGACATCAGTAGCACACATCACACTGACTGTTATAGCTAACTTTACAATAATAACCATTTTCATTTTAGCCGATCTTTTAATTCACAGAATAGATAATGTGACCATTCTATGTGTTCATGGGCTACTCCGATTTTAAATAATTTCGATAATTTGACTGGAATCTTTAAGCAGCTTTTATACGAGCTTGATACTTACATCTCTTAATATTTAGGATGTTATAAATGTTGATGACAGACCTGACAAACATATTTTAATGATGGTATTCATTTCTTCTTTCTTGATTACATAGTTCTTTTTATTTCTTCGCAAAACGGATAATTTATGTTTTCTTTTTTTGATGAAAAATATTTTTTTTATTATGTTTTATGATTTGTTAGATTGACATGAAATTTTTAAAAGGTAGTATTTTCTGCGCAACAATTAAATTTTTCTAATTATTCCAAAGTTAGTACTGTTATTCACTGTACAATAGTTTTAACTGTTTATCTCCTTTTATCATATGCAATTAACATGAAAATAATCATGATGTATGGAATTTTAAAATCTTGTTTTTTATGCCCAAAGAATTGGATACATAGTCCTATTATACATTTTACTTTTTTCTACACTGAATTCTGTATTTATGATTCAAAATCTTCAAGATATTGTAATAAACTCCATGCTTCATAAGATTTCATCTTGTGATACCACTTATACTTCTACATCACACTAAAATTAAGTGACTAGCTCAAGTTAACTAATAACAAATGGTAACTTATATCTCTTTAAGTTAATCAAATATTGCTCAATATACTACAGAGGATGATATAAAATATCCAAATATTTAGTTAAAACAATATTATTAGAATGGGGGTTTGTGGGGATTATAGTGATTTTAATAGTTGAATTCATGAGACAGGTTTATACCTCAGACAAAGGGTTGTAACCATTGGAGTCTAATCTGTGTCAGGTAGAGACAAGTATTTACTTCAGACAACGGATGGATGGTTGAGCAAGATCATGGATCTGTTGATGTTATACATTAACACCTTTAGGTCCTAACCCAGTTCGAGTTCAAGCGCTAAACTGAAGGTCTTTGGTTCGAGTATCCCGTGTGGATGTGCACCGCTGAGGAGTTCCATACTAGGACAAAATGACCGTCCAGTACCTCCACGTTTTCAATGGTGGTCTTGCTAACATCGACTCATGAATTAAACTATTAAACTAAGAACAACATTGGTAAAGTTGAAGTTATTTTTTTCTTAGTAAATGGTAATACCTTATTTCGACATTTCAGGACATTATATAAAAAAATAAGATTTTTTGAGTAAACTGCGCATTACAATTTAAGATTATATCTCTGGAATATGCTTCACTTAAATAATATCTTGTATTTATACTTTTTATCATTTAATTTGTTAAAATTTAAATAAATTCTTTGAATGAAACTAAACAACAAAACTATCATTTCAACTATGTTTATTCCATATAAATATGTACCTTAAATATATGTTATATTCCTTTATTATACATCATTGATGTTGATTTTAAACATTGTACTAATTTGTCAAGATATCAATATTTTAAGAGTTAAATAATTTTCTTTTCCAAAGTATCATTGAATATGAGTTCAAAGTGTTCTTTTTTTCTTTTTCTTTCCAAAATTACATTCTCATATTGAATATCGAATGATTTCCTAATTTAATTTACTATGTATCCATATTTGATTCCATTTTTTCTTTCTACATCTGTAACCTTATTAATTAATTACTTGAAATAAGGCCAAAGGAATTAAATTTCATTTTAGATTATATTATGGATGTAACCTTTTTATACAATAATTTAAAGACAACTAGAACTGTGCTTTTTTTCTTTGGAAATTATTGAAAGGAAATTTAGATAGTTTATTTATTATCTTTGTTAATGATCACATATAAACATCTCAGTGAATATTTCTTGCCAATAAATACCAATTTAATAGTGACTAAAAACAATATTTTACCGGTACAACATAGATTAAATCTAAATTTATATCTAAAAATATTTCTTCTTTAACTTACAGTTATTAGACACGCACCAACAAATGCAACTATAATAGCAACCATGTTAACAGTTAGTTGAAATTGAAGAAACTTTGAAATAGAATCATATACATTTCTTCCCCACATAACAGCTTTAACGATACTTGTAAAGTTATCATCTGTTAATATAATATCTGAAGCTTCTTTTGCAACATCTGTTCCTGCTATACCCATAGCGAAACCAACATCAGCCTTTTTCAATGCAGGTCCATCATTTGTGCCATCTCCAGTTACAGCAACAACTTCACGACGAGTTGAAATATGACTGTCTATAATCCCACTTACTAAAGTATATTTATCCTGTGGTGAAGAACGTGCAAGAACTCTTAACTGTGGCCATACTTGGTCCATTAAATCTTGTCTAACACGATTTGTACGTGGATCACGTACACGAGCATTGAATTCTTTTCCTTCTAACACAATATAGTTATCACCTGGTTTAAGAATGCCACACTTAGCAGCTATCGATCTCGCTGTGTTGACATTATCACCGGTTACCATACGTACAGTGATCCCAGCGCGTTGACACTTTCTTATAGCTGCGGGAACCTCTGGTCGTACAGGATCTTCAATTCCGACTATTCCAATACATGTTAAATCAGAGACGATAGTATCTTCATCATCAAAATCAGGTGTCTGTCCACGATTTAGAGGGACCTCATTCGAAAATAGCCCAACAGCTTTTATAAAAATAAAGAGTAAAACAATCCATGTCAATACTTTAAACATTAGTCCTAATTTATTAAGAATACAAACACTTGAAAATTTTTAAAAGAAGTAATTAACGTAATTTTTTGTATTAATTTAATCTATATAATCAAATATTACATGAATAGTTATCTTCTATTTCTGTCATCAAGAATCATTATTCGTTGATTAAAAAAGATTAGAAGACTATTATTGAAAATAGAATTTGTTTTCTTATCTTATAGTACAGATAGGTTTTCAACTTCGGTTTTATCATTCAAAAAAATTGATTGATATAGATACATGAGCTAGTGAACCACAGAAGATTTCATCCAATTTATTATATTTAAAAGAGAAAAAAACTCCAATATTTATAGGAAAAAATTAATCTATGATATTTTGTTTCATATTGCTACGCTATATATAAGACGATAAGTTTAGATATTTTCAATTATGAATTTAGAATATGATATGATATGATATCAAGCTGTCAATATTAGTTATTCAGTTTTATTTTACACTTGTTTAATTCAATAAAACACAATATGCACATATTTTTCTTAGTCATCGATTGAAACAAACCATGCAACATTGTTATTATAAGACTACATATGTATCTGTTATATCCTAGAGAAGATTAAATTATGGGTAAAGTCCGAGAATTATCTATGGATTGATATTGTACATATATTCTTATCGTTTAACTGGTAAGAAACTAAACCATATATCTTTGTATTTCTCTTATTATAAGCTTTTATTTGATCTATTGCTTATTGTTATATGTCTTTCTATTCTCAACTTATTCTCAATCTATTAGTCACAGTTTCCCACAATCACAACCACGAACGGCTTGATCTTGCACTATAGTTATTTTATATTTTATGGTGTGATGTGGTCTGAATTTACTTGTATGTAAACCAAGTATGTTCTAAAATATATGATTCGATATAATGGAGGATAATATTTGCGTCCTGGACTGAATCGGCTGGGTTGGACGAAAAGCTGCTATCTCAAGGACCAATAAGAACTCTAGGCTGCTCGTAATGATCTGATCAATAAGTCTGTGACTCGTATCGCCTGATATATTAACAGAGCACAAAGGTCATAAGATATAACAGTATCATTTGCATGTAGTTCATATTCGCACGTTGCTAAAGTTAATGAAACACGATTTACATGACACTAAGCACACAATGCTTATAGCAGTTTATAAAAAACTATATCTTTTTCAATCGTCCAAATTGACAAATGTAAAAGAAAGAATGTCTGTTAATTTATCCAGCTAAAATGAAGTACAAAGTGTATTTAATAAGTGTATCAATTTTTTTACGGTGAACATATTCCGCTCATTTTTATTCTCAATCTTTTTCTCTGAGTTTACAACAATTCATTAACAAAATTATTAAAATTTAATGATGATTGTCTGTAGATCGAGACTTCATTTTATAAAAAAAATTGTCTCATCAAATTAAGCCGAACTATAATTATATCCTTAACCGATTTGAAGATATTTTTCACAGTTCTATATTATTCGATTGTAATTATGTTCGTTGTCTGTGTTTTAATCTCATCTGTTTGAAAAAAAGAAATCAAATATGTTTTAAAAAATTTTCTAAAACTTAAGAAATAAGCCATTTAAAATATTAAGTTATTATTTTTGTCACTTATGAAGTCGGCATTCAAAACAAGCAACTACATTATGTGAATGAAATAAACTGAATAGTAGTTTTATTTTTAATCAATCAACCATTATCACAGAGTTTGTTGAAAATTATTCTATGGCCTATAAATTTTTATAAATTGTCATTCTATTCAAGTTCGGTGATAATTTATTATCTGAAAATCATTTAGACGAGTGATTGATGTGAATCTTTTACATCATGGTTATGAGGTTCAGTGATGTACAGAGTGAGATAGTTATTACAACTGGTAGTGAATCCCAGTCGAACAATATAATAAATCTAATACATTTGGAAATATCAATCCTTCAATACGACTTCAAGTCAGAGTGCTCAATATGAAGCTTACGGTTTGATTCCTTGCGAGATTGAGAATTTGTAATACTGAGAAGTTCCGTACTAAGAGATAACAACTCTTCATTACTTTCTCAACAAAATTTGTTCCGTATCGTTTTAAAATAAACGGAAGTTTCAGAAATATATCCAAGCTTTTGAAAAGAGTAATTGGAACAAATGGTTCAATCCTTGCTCCATTAAAATCAGTTTCAAATAACAGGTTGGACTGGAAGCTTTCTTGCATTTTTCATCCTAAACTATGCATAACATTTTTAAGATGTCTATCAATGAATCAAAAAGCATAAATACAGTCCACAATCTTATGACGAAAAAACTATTGCTGAGTACCCAGGTTTCCTGCAAAGATCAATTATTTTATAAAAGTTGTTTTTAAAAAAAATGACAACCGAAAAGATAACAACGAAGCATGGCGTACGGTATTAGGTAGAAAAATAAACTTCGTTAACTAAGGTGGGTGGTAAATACGTTTTGTATTTTTAATTAATATCTACCCTGAAGTTCAATACCATGTGGTATGAAATGTAATTTAACAAAGAATAAGAGCTACCAAAATAATACACGTCATCACTTCGTAAAGTTATTGGGTGTTGATGAGAGACTATAAATGTTACATGTTTATTATCTCGCTTTGGAATACTTAGTTAACAGTTATTTCATATTTCTCGCACTAAAATTCAGTTCTCATTTTCTAACCAAATGGCCGACAATTAATTTCCCACTTCAGCTTGACTTCGTTTTCACAGTCCTGATAAACCCATGTAACTGTCCTGATATGAATTGTGACAAATCCTACGTCGCTTATAACTCACTAATTGCTCAAATCACTGTGAATGCATGCGAATACTAAGTAATTAAGATGAAAACTTTTGTAATATCATTTCGCCCATATGTATTCATCCTTGACAATAATTTTGACTTTTACACACTTTCATACACCTTTCTTATTCGATTCTGTTGTACAGTTATGTCTACATATTTGTTAATAAGCTTTAAAATTTAATAGTTGAATTCATGAATCATTTAAAGCTAGACCACTACAGAAAACCTGGAAGCACTTTAAAAATGATAGCAAATGCAAGCCAACCTAGACATGATTTAGTATTTTTGTCTTTATTACTCTATTATCTATAACATTTACAAATTTACAATGAATACCTATCCCGAATATGTCCAATGTAATATTATAAAGAAATGTCTTAGTACCAGAGTAAATGAAAGATGGACAACGTTTTACCTTACAAAGCATAAATAATATGCATGTTTAATTTTTAAATAGCTTTAGACACCCTTTTCAATAATTCTAGTTACAAATAAACATTATATCAAATGGAATAAAATAATTTAGAAATCGAACTCCTAAAGAAAAAAAGACTAATAAAATATAACTTACTAGGATCTATATAACTTTTGTATGCAATACCTATGGTACGTAGTCCATCACTAGCCATTTGTTCAATTACATCTCGAACTAAATTATCTTGATGAGATTTACTAAATGGTTTAGGTTCACCATTAGCATCCAAGATGAAACTACATCTGAAATTTTAATGGGAGAATAAGCATTCAAATCAACTTCAGGATTACTACTATTTTAAATAGGCAAAATAATTATGGCATACATACAACAAATACCCCAGTTTATTGTGGTTTTAAAATGCAATTAACTACTATCAAATTATCTTGTTAATGACGCTCGTTACAAATTGACCACAACAGAGGATACTATTTTAAACCTTTGACCATTGATTCGCTCTTATAAAGAAGCGAAATCAGAAACTTTACTTCTTTCAGTGAATGATTAATCAGTGTTGTCAAACAAATTCTAATAATTACCGTTCGATATTAAAGTTATAAGTTGGTAAAATGAAAGATTAGTAAGACATCTCACGGATTATAATCACAAAAATAAAACCATCTATAAAGTCACATTCTTTTAGATATTAAAAAAATTTAGAAATAATCAAATAGAAATTATCCAGTTAAACAATGTGCCTGATTTCATAACTTACTTTTTTAAAACCATTTCGGAAGCACCTTTAGTGAAAACAGTATAACCTGGCCTATCAGGTTCCAAGTTTTTAATCACTGTACTCATTGACTTTCGTAAAGAATTAAATGTGAATACTTTCACTAAACTTTCTTGTGGCCACCGTTCTCGTATGTCCTCATAATTTACGCCTAAATGGCGTACAAATCCAAGCAAAGCACATTCAGTTTTATTTCCCAGTTGTTGTGGTAATTCACCTGGTTTGTCTGGAATCTAAGACGATAATACGAGTATTTTGAAAAAAACGGAAAATATATTAGGCAAATTCCTTTTTGTTCAGAAAAAAACTTTTTCTCAAGCAAAAATGAATTTCACTTAATGAGACAGAATTATTGATGAATTTATTGTGTACTAATTCCGACCAATTCTTGTTTACTACTACAAAGTAGTTTCATTATTGGTATTTGGTTGACTTAGATAACCAATTGCAAATAAAAGGATTTTCTTTTTGTGTATTTACAATAAATTAGTTGGTCACTATCTTACGATGTTTCTCCATTGACTGAATGGTGAAGACTTTCAAGAACATACTTTGCTAGGTCGTTTTTTGATACTCTCTTGTATCTGGTCAGTCAGTCAGTCAGCTACAACGTAGGACCAGGCACATATGTGCATCGGTCCAGGTTGCCATACCTCATTAACACAAGATGGACACAGGATTCATAGCAGTGGTTAGGTCAAAGGTGGTAATATATAAGAGGAAGATTGCATATAGAGATATAGTACAAGAAGAAAAAATTGGTTCGTAGAAAGAGAGGTATGAAGCGATTTTAATCTCTTAGTTTAAGGGAAGACAGAGAGTGTATACACCGACGCCAATGTGATCGATTCTGAGCCATGTCACCAAGAGTCTCCAACCACCGGTTACGATAGTCACGCGGACTCCAACCAAGTAGTCTACATCTACCAACATGGCTCAGAATAGAAGTTAGTGACTTCAAGCACTGATGCCACGTTTTGGTTTGGCCGCCCCTAACTTTCTTCCAACCATTCCCTACCCCGGTTAGCATTACACGTCGTGGTAATCGGTGTTCAGGCATACGTAACACGTGGCCCAACCATCTCAGTCGATAAAGATTCACAACCTCATCAACTGATTTACCATCATTCCCTAATACCCTGCGTCTAACCTCACTATTACTTACCCGGTGATCCCAGCAGACGCCAGCAATATTTCTAAGTCATCTGTAGTCAAATACTAATAGCTTACGAGTGTCTTCTACTCTTAATGGCCATGTTTCGCTGCCGTAAATTAAAACAGAACGGACTGCCGCGCAGTATACTCGTCCTTTTATTGATAGACGGATATCTCGCCTTCGCCACAGGTGACGTAAGTTGACAAAAGCCAAACGAGCTTTTCGAATCCGTGCGGAGATTTCGTCCGATACCAACCCATTAGGGCTGATCAGACTTCCAAGATAAGTGAAGTTGTCAACGCGTGTTATCTCATCTAACTGGTCACAATCACTTATCGTCCCAATATATAAGAAAGGGTCAAAATCATCCTGTGACAATCACAGAGGGATTGGTTTAACTAATATAATATCTACAATACTAGCCTCGATAATTATCAGACGCCTAACTAAAACTCGTGAACTGCAAACACAAGAGAATCAAGCTGGCTTTAGACCTGGTCGTGGCTGCATCGACCACATATTCACCATTCGTCCGATTCCAGAACACAGGCATACTTATCGGCGTGACCGTCTGCTGCAACTGTGCTCAGACAATGGCTTATTTTTAGCAAACACAAATTTTAAGCACAAGAAGAGACATCGTCTAACATGGCGACCCCATACACAAACCAACGATGGACTCAAATAGACCATATTGCCATCAGTCATCGTTGGAGAGGGTCGGTAGAAGATTGTCGTTCATTCTGGAGTACCTGCTTGGACTCCGACCACGCCCTAATACGGGCACGCATCTGCTTGCGCTTCATCGGACCAATTTCATACATAGATCCATAATTATGGTGCTTAACATAGGCATAATTTTTATATACTGTAGTGAACGAGAACACTAATGGGGACAACCAAATGTATTTCAACACAAAATTACAGAATCTCTTAGTAAAATCTGAGAACCATACAATAAATACTCCATTTGCGAAATGCCCATTAATTGTCTTAGACGTGACTGTTCCTTAGTTTGCACACCAATCATTCTCTGTTCTTGTTCTCTTCTCTTCATTTTTTTAAAACTCCGACCTCCAGGAATTTCACTTTCGACTGGTGATACTGGTGATATATCTGTCGATATAAGTAGCATACACCACAATATTATCTCAACAGTTGAATTCGTAAACCGATCTAGGTTAGACCATCATTGAAAACCGTAAAGCACTGGACATTCATTTCGTCCTAGTACGAGTCTACACAGCAGTTTATAATCACTATCTCATACGTGGTCTAGCTTAGATTTACTTATGAATTTAGCTGCTAATATTACAACAATCTCCACAAATCCCCATTCTGATTTACTCTGTCAGTTGCTGATGGAAGTGATTGCAAAAATTAAATTTAAATCAACTCAATGCTGAATTGCTTTATTCCAAAAAACTTTTCTCACAGAAATTCTGATATTTTTTGGAAAAATAATTTATCATTTAATATCCTCATTAAAAATAATCATATTAATAAACTGAAAAATCCCTTACAATCACACGTGATGTATAACTACTGTTAATTGCGACACCATGCACAAATCTGTGTCCAATTCTATGATTTAAATCTTTCAATTTTGGTAATTGATCAGTGTTTTGGGTTAATTTCTCACCAAAATAACATTGAACAACCGTCATACGATTTGTTGTTAAAGTGCCTGTTTTGTCAGAACAGATAGCTGTTGCATTACCCATTGTTTCACATGCATCCAAATGTCGTACAAGATTATTGTCCTATTAAAAAAATTTTTTCGAAATACAATTCATAAGTACATATAGACTATTAAAATACAATAAACCATATCATCTTAAGCAAAATGTCAAAAATGTAAACAAAATTGGTTTCACCATTAAACTTTATGGAATATGAACAAAAAAAAGAAGTAACATGCTCAAAGATGAAACTAACCGTACAAATCAGTAAGTTCAAAAAGAAAAACACATTAAATAGCATCTTAATATGTCATCCACCATTAAAAAAATGAAAAGGCTCACACTTGAATTAAATTGATTTTGGAAGTCCTGATGAAAATTTATCTCAGAAGTGTGTTAAATATATATGTATTCAACCAAAATTTCACTACTTCAGTGTGAAATTGTTTTATGACAGATATTTTAGAGAATCAAAAATAAAATCTAAAAACTTCATGAAATGTACACAAAACATTGACCGGTAAAATCTCAAGAAGAAACATATTTTCCATATTAAAACTTCAGTCCCAATGATTAATATTTCATTTTAGTTTGAATATAACCGTGCCTTGAAGCAGATAACTGAACTAAGTCTCAGCCAATCTACAGGAAGCCTTGAATCTACTTTTCCGATTGGATGACATTCATCTGAACTCACATAAGAGCTGATGTTTTATCAGAGATTCTAACACACTTCACTCAACTCCAGAGTCATAAATACTACTATTAAGATATTCAAATCACGACTGATACTCAGAACTAAAATAGTCTCACTAACAGGTCAATAAATACTACTAAATATCATGTTGTCTAGTTCTTACTGATGGATAATCAAATTGAGATATGATTACTGGACAGTAACATCACTGATATAGATCAAATTCAGCCATCTAAAACCATGCTCTCAATATTTCCATTGAAATTGAAAATTATGTTAAAATGAATAATGGATGACATCAGATTTATCATTTTAAAAGAAATTACATTTTTCCCTTAAAAGCTTTTCTATGTATAACTAAAATGATAAATGTATTAACAGAATGCAGTATTGTTTATTTGCTGTTCAACTACGTTTATATGTCAACCCTTGTTTTAATTATTAAATAGAGATCACTAGGTTTATGTTGGGTATTTTTTAATATTGTTAATAATGATTTCCGGTTTGGATTTTTTTTTAAACAATATTTCTCATTACTTTTCTCTTATATTTTTCATTCATGGAAAACGCTAAAAGATAAGTATCCATAATCGTATTTCTTTGCCTAGACTTTTACTTTCACATTTAAACGCGAAAGAAGCTACAAACCTAAACAGGATGATGGGCGTCAACCATTCAATGAAAACAAAATAAGAAACTAATAAATTTTTAAAATTTTAAATCAATGTTTTATTCTCTGTCTAGTACAAAGAGTAGATTTACTGAAAAAAGCATAATAATAGTGTTACTCAGTCATAGGAAAACCAATAACAATTAGATAGAAAACAGAAATGATCATTATGTTCTCAGTAAAAAATCTTACTCCAATAACAAAATGGTTGTGAGAAGTATATACAGACAACCGACAGGAATTTTATAAAACAAAGGGGAGGATACTTGACGTGTATTAATCCCTGTTCAATAAATATGATCACTAATTTTAACAAACACATATTGGTCTTGCCTAATGAAATAGACAATTCAAAAGAAAGAGATATGATGAAAACCAATGATAGAAAGCAGTCAGCCGTGTGGTTTATTAGTTTTTTTTTCTTTCTAACTGATTCAACTGATAAGCATAAGTTGCTGTTCAATCTGTAGTATTGCAGAATAAGAGTTGAAAGGACAAATTTCTGAACGACAATTTTTTATTTGAAAAAAAAATTCAAATTAAATACTACTTATTCTTGTTTTGAATTCTATGAATGAGTAGAGTTGACGGAGATGCTGAAAGTGATGATCTACTGAAATAATGTTTTTCACACTGTTAATTAATGGACACTTTTTTTCACATCAAGTAGGATTATTTAGTTAGGCATAGTGAATGGCTGATGCGTTATAACAACTGGTGTTAGCTGGATATAGATTAGATTAAAGCATGTTCCATGCAGGATTGTGTTGGGGCACGCTGACTGCTCATTTTGTAGTTTGTCGGCACCAGCGGATACTTGAAAAAAACTGTAAAAGCATAAATTTACTAAAGTTTCTCTCATTTTTTATATATACTTCCATTCAACCTCAATTATCAGGAACACAATTACGTTCCTGTTCAATCTTGTTTTGATTTGAGGACTTGTCGAATGAAGTATTGTCCAACAATGCCAAACAACAAGAGCGACTAAGTCGTATTAAGAGAAATTATAGAAACTGAACATATTTATCCTCCTTTGTTGAAAGGATTTTGATTTTAACTGTTGTTGATATTAATAACTGAAATGATCAGTTTCTGGAAGAATAAAGCCGTACCTCCCTTAACTGATCTCATGGTATTATCTACATTTGTAAATTGACAGTGGCTGCGAACAGGATCTTATATTTTCATATCATTTAAGATGCATCATCTTCATGCTAATGTGTGTGTGTGACGAACTCTATACTTTAATACCAGCCGTTTAAAATATGTTGAGTTATACTTCTAACTCCAGTTAATTCACAACTGTGTATGACTATCATCTGATGAATTGAGGCATATCTGTCTCATTTTAGGTATTTATGAGAATTACAGGTATTTATTAAACCTATTTTTACAAATGTTAAAATATTGACTATCATTTCGTTATTTTTTATTAAATATTTAAATATTAACTACTGAAAATATCTCCTGGTAAATTAGTCAAATATGTAGAATGCTGTTTGAAAAAAACAATAACGTTTGATACGGTTTTCCATAATAATTGAAAAACAGAATTAATAATCTAGGCTAATGATCTGAAAAATGTTTCGAAGTATTTAATTGTAAAATTCAGATTATATTGTCAGTTGTCGAAAAACTAATTTGCTTGCAATATACTTGGTCATCACAGATATTATCTTCAGATTCGACTAATCATTGACTTAGAGATGAGCTTCACTAACACATCATTTCGTCTCTTTTGTTAGTTATGACATATTTTTACACTTTTAAACTAGTTAACTGACTAGCAATTTGATAGATAATGAAACAGTCACATAGTTAATTGACTTTTATGACACTGCAATACGCCAAACAAGCTGTACATATTAGGTTAATAAATTTTTATATTATACTTACGTATATATATGTATTTCAATCCTGTATCTGATCTATTGTCAGTATAATATTTTAAATATTGTCACATTACGTATGGCATGTCAAATACTTATCTACAAATCACGATCTATTTTTGACTATGCTAAATATTTCCGAAATTAGTTTTTTTGTCTTAATGAAAGAAACAATAAGTTGAAAGATGGATTAGGAAAGAAAAAAAAGTGTTCCAGAGTAAAAACTAAATTGCGTTGACATTTTCAATAATTACTAATCTAATAATAGGAATATTAAAATTCAGAATTGTTTTAAATTCACTTGATATAGTGTACTTGAATCCCGGAGTGAACATCGACTCTGGAATGCAGGTACATCCAGCTGATGATTCCCAAATAGGATGAAACGCGTATCTTGGATTCCCTTTCTAGCCACCATTCGTCTTTGCTCAGAATAGTATTGTATAAAAAAGTAATTTATATTATTTTGACAGTGAACTAGAAAATTCATGAATCAAATATGTTGTAAGTCATAGGTTTTGATAGTTCTTAATGAACATTAAAAACATTTTGAAAAAATCAGTAGGAATTTCTTGAGGATAGAAAAATATCTAGTTTATTAGAACTGGGTATACTATGAACTAAACGTTTGTCATTAGTTACACTTATTGGAAATTGTGTGTTGTGAAGTAAATCGATAATAATTTTTTGTAATAAAGTGCATGATAAAAATATGAACTTTCAAAATAAATTTCGTTATAAACTAACAGTGATTGAAGAACTACTAAGAATCAGAAAGTATTAGACTGTAACCTTCAGTTCGTTCGTAAGTCAACTGTAGCATGTACTCTTTATTACATGAAATGTTTAAATGGCATTTACAAGAACTTCATATTTTCCTATTCTGGTACCAATAGCAATGCTTCAAATTAACTCAGTTCACCGAACAACTTTATCATAACAATCTGTTAAAATCGATAGTGATAATCAATTCAGTAAACCAATTCAAAAGTGAGGGTAGATTTTGATCCTTAAACTGAACATACATTTTTATCTTTAAATTTAAGTATGTAAACCACTAAGCTAGGAAGTCTATCTATGATATTTTAAAAAATGTCTACTTCAATAAAAAAATAAATATAACTGTAGAAAAATAAAACATCCGATTCATGTCCAGAAATGATCGTTAAAATATTAAAAGATCAATATATGAAGCATTAGAGTTCATTAAAAAAGTACAGGCTGAAAGGAACGAAATAAAATATAATTTCCAATAAACGTCAATCACCATACCCACCAAGTGAAAATAAAAATAACTAGTAACTAAAAGTCTTTAAATATTTATCAAAATATAGAATTGCATTTTACTGAAATAAAGAAGCAATGACATATGTTATCTCATGTAGTCCCTATTTTTAATTACCAAAATCTATTTTAAGCGCTAACATCCAAGAGCCATGTATATGAGAAGACTTTCTGTCCCTAAAATGCAGGTATTATAGACTAATAGATTGTATCTCAACTGATAAGACTCAGTATATTATTTAATATTGACATGCTCCAATAATAATTACTAGACTAACATTTTTAACTCAACTAACGGCCCTTTTTATTGTGGATCATGAAAAATACCATGTATAGACACATTTGTATTCGTTTCTTTGTAATGTTTAAGTTTAAATATGATGTAATTACAAACCTGGTCTGATTATATTTAATTCTGTACTAACTAAACATGTTAATAACATCTGATTGAACAAAATAAATATCAGATATAGTATTTATGACTGTTCATCTCACATATTGTATTATTCCACTGATTTTTTAATAACTTAATGTTTTGGAAATAATCGACAAACCAACCGAAAATCTATCTGTACATTTTTACATGTGTTTTTATACTCTTATGTTATTAAATTTGTTCCTATCAATCAAAATTAAGTCATATAAACAATACAGTAGGTTAAGAAAATAAATTGGCAAATTTGAGGAAAAATGAAATATAGAAAACTTTTTTTCATTTCATTTTACTTTTGTCCTTAAATACATTTGTTATTTTATCATGACCTTGATTCCGATTATTAGCACCATCATTATTATGAATATTCTAACCAAATTTCAAATATCTTCTGTAAACTATCTAAAGTTCATGAAATGTTTCTTATTCTTCATAATAACGAACTCAGTGAATTCATGAACAAGAGATAATGTACAAATAAACGTTTAAAGAGTTTATACATAAGGAAGTGATGGACAAGAAATCACGGTTAACTTCAACTACCAAACACCTTAACATATTGGATATTATGTAAAGTCATCGAGGTGATCAGCTGCATTAAAAGATTGATGAAGCAGAACATTGGTCAGTAACTAGTAATCAATCAACAGTATTAAGAAAGTGATATGCTGAACAAGAAGATATTTCACAATTTAGAATAAAATCAGCTTTTGTGTATCAATTTACACCGAACCAAACAGATTGACATTATTTCTAAAGATCTTTCTCGAATCCTACTACGACATATTAATTTTTAAAACTTTGAAATGGAATTTTTCTGATTAAATTTTCAATAAAAAGATGTCAGTTAAAAACATAATCTGAAACACATTTTGAGCTAATTGATTTATTCACAGCAACAAAAGACCAGATACTTCAGGTCCATATCTCTAAAAAAAACTTAACTAAAGAACCCAGCGTTAATGCAATTCCTGTAACAATAACAGCCTAAATAAAAACTATAAGTAATTATCAAAAAGAAATCCCCTATACCTTTAATTGGTATAATCACAATGTTTTTTCAATTAGCCAGATGTTTAAGTAGGATTGATAATATATTCCAGATGATCTCAACGATCTGTACCTTTAGAGTATAATATAGCCGCCAAATAAGTAGTAATGGTGTTAAACAAGTTGTTCTAGTCAAAAAAGTATAAATTAATACCTGCAAAGTTAGAAAGACTCTCAGCCTGTTATTCCTCGTGAAGAAGCATAGGCCGCTCACCAGCATTCTCTATCCAACTCTGTCCGGGCGATCCTTTCCGGTTGTCATTCATCCTTTTCATATCTGATTCTATTTCCCGACGTAATGTATTCTTTGACACTCCTCTTTTCCGATTCCCTTCAGGATTCCAAGTTAGGGCTTGCCTCGTGATGCAGTTTGGTGATTCGTGTAGTGTATGTCCTATCCATTCCCATCGTCTTTTCCTAATTTCCTCTTCAGTTGGGAGCTGGTTTGTTCTCTCCCAGAGAAGTCTGTTGCTGATGCTATCCGGCCAATGGATGTTAAGTATCTTGCTTAGATAACCATTTATAAATACTTGTACCTTCTTGATGATGGTTGTATTAGTTCTTGAAGTTTCAGCTCCGTACAGTAGAACTGTCTTAACATTCGTATTGAAGATTCTGACTTTTATATTGGTTGAAAGTTGTTTTGAGTTCCATATGTTCTTCAATTGTAGGAATGCGGCCCTTGCTTTGCCAATCCTCACCTTTAAGTCTGCTTTTGATCCTCCTCGTTTATCGATGATGCTTCCCAGGTGTGTGAAGGATCCTATATCTCCCAGTGTTTCGCCATCAAGAGTGATTGGATTGCTGTTCTCCGTGCTGTATTTGGGGACCTTGGTTTTCCCCTTGCGCATGTTGAGCTTTAGTGATGCAGAAACTGCTGCTACATTGGCTGTCTTTATCTGCATTTGTTCGTGTGTATGCGATAGGAGGGCTAGGTCATCTGCGAAGTCCAAATCGTCTAATTAGTTTTGAGCTGTCCATTGTATGTTGTGTTTTCCCTCAGATGTCGAAGTCTTGATAATCCAGTCGAACACCCGAAGAATGAGGAAGGGAGGGAGTAGACAACTTTTTCTGACTCCAGTTCTTACTCGGAATACATCTGTCATCTGTCCTCCATACACGACCTTGCACTGTAGTCCGTCGTATGAGTTCCGGATAATGTTGACAGTCTTCTCAAGAACTCCATGGTGTCGGAGAAGTTTCCATAACGTTCTCCTATTTACACTCCGCCTGTAGATCTTCTAGAGTTACTGCCTGTCCCAAGCCCGGTTATAGGAGGAGGGTTGGGCATGGGGTGAGCGACTACATCTCGTAGAAAACTAACTCGCTAAAAAAACGCTAACCAGAGAAAATAATTCAAACCATTTCAGTGTTTAGCTAGACAAATTTTGTCTCTACATAAAATATCATGAAATAAGAAAAATAAAAGTATGACCAAACCAAGACAAGATAATAACACAAAAATCTACTGACTGTTTATGTGATTTTTATTGCACCACAAAGCTTTTTCCGAAAACTGAAGATCTTAAATGATGAAATTGATTTAGAAATGCATTCATTCTTTAACTTCTTCATAGACTATTCATTAACGTTTAATAATTTTATTTTCTAAATAGTTATATGCCTTATCTAGTTCAGTTCAGAGAGTGATTTTTTTCATATGTTAATAAAAAGTTCAAACTCCCGAATTGATTGTATATTGTGACTAAATGGCACATTAATTTGTTTTTCTGATCTTGTTTTACTCAGTTAGCTGCCGACTGACAATACAATGCTTTGGCTGTTTAATTTAGATATTCTCCACATTTTTGGAAAAAAAACCCAGCTGAGTACAAATTCATTTTTGTATTCAGTGTTTGGATTTTCCCGTTGATGTTTAGGACTGCAATTGATCAGTCGCTGTTTCGCAGGTGTGGACCCTGTGAGGTTTGCATAGATACGGTTTTAGATCACAGGCATCCTAGGCAGAGATTGATAGCAGATAGCAGTGGGATCCAAGACGCGTGTTTCATCCAACCTAGTGTCTACTGGACTCAGTTGTTAAGTGTATAACGTGATGTCGTTTGAAAAGAACGTTATTTAGTTCGAGTAACGGAGTGAACATCAACTCTGGAATACAGGTAGATCCAGCTGACGAGTCCCAAATAAGACGTAACATACTTCCCGAATTCCACTGCTAGCCACCATCCGTCTCTGCTTATAATGATTTTATTTATTTTAACTGTACAAACAAAAGTATTGTTCTCTACTCAGTTCTATAGTACACATCCTACATCATATTCACTGTCTTATTTTCTTATAATGTATTAATCAAGTATTAACCTAATGGATAACATGAACAAAAATAATATAAAATCACTTTTAATAAAAGTTTCGCTGTTAGCTACCATTATCTCAGTATAAATTGACTAAAACCTGACTACAGAAATGCGAACCTCTATATTTCAAATTACTGAACCGAATTTCATATATTTACCGTGAGGACTGAAATTCTTAGTTTCAATTCTTGTTAAAGTCGATAGTTGTGCATTTCTAATGTTATTTCTATAGAAATTCTAACTAAATTCTAGACAGTAATATATTCTTTCTTGAAAATTTGAGTGCAAAGTTGAAATAATATTAGCCATTCGTCTACTGTCTAACTAACAACATACATCGATGTTATTTATCAACATAAAACAGCAGGCTTAATTGCTTACCTTCATCATTTTCTTGACAGAATAGGCTAATGAAATAGTTACAGCTAATGGAAGTCCTTCGGGCACAGCAACCACAAGTACTGTTACACCAATAATAATAAACTGTACAAATTGATGTAAATGTCTGCCTGTATCCCAGTGTTCTTTGTTAAAATAAAATGTAGTGACAGAAAATTTTACAATTAATATTATTACTGTTAAACTAGCCACAACGGTACCTTTAAAGGAAAAAAATAAACGGTAATTAATAATTTTGATCAAATTATTGAAAAAATTAATGAACAGTACGAATTAAAACGATCAACATTTAAAAAATAATGAATCGGAATTCACGGATTATTTGATCTTTAATCAATCGTTAACATTAAAAAAACTTGAGGGGTTTGGTTTTTAATTTACTTCAAGTAAAAACGAAATAGAAATAATTTTATTGGTCTAGTTTTTTCACTTAAATACTAAGAAAAAATACGTTCAAATAAATGGAAAGATAGTTCATCGAACGGTTTATCAAGTAATGGTAGTCAAATACATGGGCTTATTTCATTCCACTTTTATCGTGGATTCTTAGATCTCTAACCACATACTTCTTCAACAGAAAACGATTTTTTCCTTTTTTTGCATTACTTTCTATCACCTACTAACAAGTAGTAAAGCTAATTGGTTAGTGATTCCATTCACAACACCATTATCAGCTTAACTTCAATCATTTGCTCATAATATATTCATCCATATTTGAAGCATGCGGCATAAACGTTTTGCATTTTAGTAGATTGAAGCTATAGGTTAATTAAACACCTACTAATGACTGGAGCCAGGTTATTAAGTTGTAAATCTAAATAGATTTCTACCTACCAAGTTTTAAAATAATTACTAATCAGTCTGGTAAATAGTATTTTTAACTTAAGATGTCTGGGTGAAATCACAAATAACTTATTTCATATTTGTTGATGGTCTGAAAGTTTCAGGCTCATTTAAGACAACGTAACAAGTGTACACACATGAGAAAACTCACGAATGTTTTGCTTCTGTCTTTTAAAAAGATCACTATTATAAGAATCACACATGTTCAAGTGAGTTCAAGGGAGAAAATGAACCGATAACTAATGATGAATAACATGATTTCACTAAGAAAATCATAAATCTTACTCTATTCAAGCGCTGATTTTTACCAAATGATAGATTATTCACTTAATTAATAAAATCATAGAGTAAATACAGTTTGCTAGAAGTGTTTAAAAACAGCAAGTTTGTATTCCAATTCAATGAAATTATGATCCCCTTCTGCTAGATTAAGCCTTATTTTGTTTAAAAATAGGGTAATCAATCATTTAGATTTATTTATATATACCGAACAGCTTTAAGATTGTATATCAGAACTGGACGAACTAGTTTATCTATACTTGTAATGCTAGTTAATAACAGAAATTCTGGAAAAAATATGATTAAATATCATATGAAGTTATGTTTTATAACTCTTACTGACTTTGCCAATCAAATTAAAGTTAACTGATATGTGCACAGTATGAACGAAGTTTGTCTAAAGTCTAATTTATATATAAAATTAATTTTTTGTTTATTTAACATATTTATTAGACCTATTTATTACTATTGGATATACATTTGACTGCCATTCACGTAATTACTTCATCATTTATCAAGAAAAGAAGAAAAGGATAAACATTTGGATGAAATTTTAAGTAGGCGATTTATTTAGTTTTATGACATAACAGTTGTCTGTGTGTATAAAATCATATATAATTTTAGTTTACTTCAGTGTAGATAAGAAAAATATTGAGCTGGGATAATCTAACAAACCGAAAAGATTAATCAGGATATTTATATTTCTACATGTCTTGTGCATAATAATCTCTTTTGAAGTTTGTTATCATTAAGTAAAGTAAATAAGTGACTGTTAGGAATAATCAATCGACTAGTAAACAATTTTTGTCTTATTTTATACGCCTATCATTGAGTAGTAATTCTATAGATAAAATAAATATGAATATCAGTATGAGGATTTGTAGAAATTGTAGCATTTTTACAGTTGAATTCACGAATCAATATAAGCTAGACCACTATTCAAATCTGGAATTGTGAGATATCTCAGCAGTGTATATATATGATCCTGCACGCGGGCCTCAAACCCATGATCCGAGTGCTTAACCTCTAGACCACTGAGATGGCATCGAACGGTGAAAATACTACAATCTGCACAAACCCCCATACTGGTAATATTCATGTGCTCACTAGTGACTACCTTCAAGACGGAACTCCTGGAGATCTAGTGAGAAGCCATGACCAGTGCATCCAGGTTTTAAATAGTGGTCTAGCTTAGATCAACTCGTTGATTCAACTATGAAAATACGAATGTACTCAGTTCAGTTTGACAATTGTAACTTACTAAATGCTTATATTAAAAGCCAAAATTGATGAAGTAGTATTCCATATCCGTGAAAATTATAGTTAAAATAAAGTGATCTCTTTTTATTCCCATCTTGTCTAGTTGAATAGACTTGATTTTTTTAAAAATTCATTAGTGAACATCTGACCTTTATTTTGTGCTTCCATACTATAAAAATTTGTAATTATTGAGTTGGAATGAATTATACCGCCTGTTGTTTTTCGATTAATAGCAAATGCTTCTTTGTTCTTGAACGAAATAGGAGATTGTTATTGGTAATTTCACTAAGTATGGAGACACGATGATAGCTTATCAGATATATTAAGCGCTTTAGTCATACTGAAAATGATATTTAAGAAACAGTACGCTTTGTAATATATCCTGAATTTATATCTGCCAGTGGTGATCGACAAATGATAGACAAAATATCTATGATCCTTTTAGAATGCACATACTCTGGATTCATTTTCTCATGAAATTACAATAGATTATATTTTAGGATTGTACAAATAAAGTAGAATACCTCTTTGAAACCTAACAAGTTTTATTGATCATTAGTTAAGATACACTGCAAAGTTATTTAACTTACCCAGTTGTCCAATTAAGCTGGCTAAACGAGTTAACTTCGCTTGAAGCACTGAATACTTTTTCTTTCTTCGTTTACGACCTTTAGGTGCATCACTGCTATCTTCAGTAGCCTCTGCATCTCCACTACCTAAACTGTTACGCTGATTTAAATTATCATGTTGATGATTTTCAATACGACCACCTGTGGCTGCCGATTTATTTTTACCTGGTCCCACAACTAGAATATAACCAGAAAAGAAGTAGAATAATTAGTCATTAATAATAACGTTTCTTATTCAATATATATATATTGCACACGCTTTTTGACTAAGGAGTTTGTAAAGTAAGACACATTCCAATAATTCTCTTGATTCCAATTCGACTTAAATAAAAATCCAAAACTAACTGTAGTATTTAACAAGCTGGATTTTTATAAATATCCTGTATCTTTGGTGGGGAGTTGATTCGTCTGAATCAGTAAGAACTAAAGGAAACTGAAAAGTTAAATTTTTTTATCTCCGAAGTACTTAGCTTAATACTTAAAAACATATTCAAATAACAGCTCATAGTTTCATATAATTACTAGACAAAATTGATTGACATTGGATCACAGAGAACTTATAATTATTATATAACTACATACTGTAAAACACACTTTTAGTAGATATGCTAACGTTCGTTATCATTAACTGATTTTCTAGTTCACCTCTGTCATTTGTATCTGACAGAAGCATGCAACATAACATTCAAAGTAAAACGTTCATGAATGCAGTTTCTATCCTTTATGAACATGGGTCAAATGAACATAGAAATTGATATTCGCCTAAATTATCTTCGACATTTGTTAACTAGTGTAAACTCTAAAAATAAATAAACATTAACAATCATTAAAGTATGAATTTTTATTACAAAGTTAAGCCGATAGTTAGTATGTCTGACTCTATTCTAGCCTTCTAATTCCAACAGTAAAGTAAAAAAAATACGACTGAATTAAAGAACAATGTCAAACATATTCCTTTCGTAATATTTACTTTATATATATATCGATAAAGTGAAAACCCCTATACAATGAAAGACAGTTAATAGAATATTTACATTCTTATTGGGGTTTGTTTAAAACACTAAACGCTAATCTTGAACTTTGCGTGTCTTAAGTGTACCAGTTATTCTATTACAATATAAATGAGAAATAGACTTTTGTATCTGTTTTAGCAAACTATAAATGCGAGTAGATATTTTACTAGCGTTGAATATAGGCACAAAATATACAATCTTGAAAAATTTAATTTGAGATCAATGGTTAAAATGAATGATAGGTATATTATATTCAGTTATATCAGTTTATTTAGAACGTTTTTGAATAGAGAGTTCTTCTTTTTACCAAATTGTGAAGTAATTATGTGTTTCATACCAACTGACAGCAAATAGATTTATTGTACATAATGAACATAGATATAAATAATTCAAACGGCAGTGTTTTCTAGCATATTTATAAACCTACAACCAAAGATCATCTTTAATTACGATAAAAAAAGCCTTATCTAATAGTTAAACATTCTGGAAGCATAACATTCAGATCATTTAGCAACGAACAAGCCAGCAGTTAACTAACAATGATATTCAATGTAAATGCAAAGACAAAGAAAGACAACAAAACCTATGGAGATTGCCAACCGCAAACAAGGCAAACGAAACAAACTTATATACCATTAATGGAATAGCTAGAAAGTTGATTGCTATATAAAGTAGGTAGTGATGTTGTCCATAATGATAATTGAAACTCTACATCTAAATCCCATAGCTCAGGGAATAAAACATCAAGAAAACTATACATTTAGGCCGTGAATCTTCTCCATCATTTTACCGATTGCAGAAACACTAAACTAGTTATTGTTTAATAAATTGATAAATTTTGCACGCAAGTTTTTTTGAGTATTTTTTTAATTATGTTCATTCCGTACTACATTCAGTGCAACATATTAAAAATTTTTCTGCACCAAACATTCTAGAATAAAACTGTATTAGATTCAATAAAGTTGAATATATATATATATATATATATATATATATATATATATATATATATATATATATATATATATATATATAATATTTTTAAAAGAAAGGATTTAAAATAAATAATTGTACGGTACCATTCTTTTGAACTCTGCCTGTAGCTCTTTTAAAGTTACTGTCATTCTCAATCCCGGGTAAAAGAGGAGAGTTGGGCATCGGGTCAGCAACTCCATTCCGTAAAAAAAAACCTTGCTAAAAGAACACTAATCAGATTGAATAAATCATTCTTTTGAAGTTCAGTAACATCATACATACATATCATTATGTTTTAAATACTGTCATGTGAATTCAAACTACTACTTATTGTTTATTGGTACTATAACAACTAATTGTATGTAGCTTATGTTTTGAAAATTCCCATAGATAATCTGATTCATAGTTCAAACTAAGAAACAGTGATTATTTTATATGTAAATGTATAATAAATACTTTATTACAATTTTTTCTTATTAACATTATCAGTAACAAATATAATTTATAGGTTACAATGAATTCAATTGATTTTAGAACAATAAATATTGTAGGATAAAATGAATACCATGAATTTTATACACAGATTTGTAAATGAAATGTGTATTTATACAAATAAATAGTTATGCTAATCAAATGCTTCTATATTGGTTCACTTTGCCGGTAAAAAGAACGATTATATATAGAAACATTCAAGTAACAGTTAATTATATCTTAAATTTTCACGCTTATTGTATTGCAATAAATTAAAAATATTTTTATGATTATTATTTCTTTTTTTAATTTTACGAGCAAACTGAATTAATTTATGTTTATTTTTTTAAAAATAAAATACATTTGTAAACAAAAAGAAACAATAATAATTCACATATTGCTTAGAAAATTATTGCGTTCTTTATTTTTTCTTGAAAATTTATGGCTTATAAGATAAAATGAGCTCACTTAATATTACTAGTATAGGGGTTGTGGAGATTATTAAGCTTTTGATTGAGAACATGAACCGATTGATGTTAGATTACCTTCGGAAGCCTGAAAGCATTGGACGGCCGTTTCGTCCTATTGTGGGACTCCTCAGCAGTGCGCATCCACGATCCCGCTCGCGGGATTCAAACCCGGGATCTTTGGTGTCGCGCGCGAATGCTTAACCTACTGGGCCACTGAGCTGGCATCCAGTAGTGATAGTGTCTTACATCAACCAATCCACTTAATATTATTATTTTACAGTAAAATTTCATTTAAGTAATTGTATTGAATTGAAGTGGGTTATTTTTGCTTAAAAGTTTAATGATTTAATTAGTTTTCACATTATCTGTCGAGAAACTTAAATTAATTATTGATTTGCCAACAAAAGAATTGGACTCTTGATATTAAATCGGTAACAGTTATTCACAACAAGAGATGTATGAGGATTGTGCAGTATTAAGTATTGATTGAAGTAAAACATTGAAATTGTTGGATGCCGAATCAATGATCTCGGGGTTGTATCGTCACAAAAGACTTCGGATCAAATCTCTGATAGGATTTTGGATGTGCACTGTTGAAGAGTTGCATGCTAAGACAAAATGGCAATCCAGTAATTACAGGTTTTCAACGATCATCAAGCTAAGATCAGTCTATGTTTTAAATTATGAAAATTATTATTTGCTAATATTGTCCATAAGCTGTTCAGCTGTACATAATGTATACAGTTATCCATGCAGAATAGCTGAGATAATTATGACGAGATATAGATATTTAATCGCTTCACGCTGAATAGTGAAAGGTCATTATAGTTACTGCAAAATCAAATATACTTATTTTATTAGGTAAATATGAAATTCTGCACGGTGCTTCTTTTACTAAACATTGCATGACACCGGTACTATGACTGATATAAAGTCACAAACTGTAGATTAAAATGTTAAATTAATTTGATTCAGTAAAAAACACATAGGTCAATGTTGTCCTTAATTTTGAGTTCACGTTAATCGTATTATAAAACTCACGGTAACAAAAAAATAATAAAATGTTGATGGATTTTCAATAGTCGATGTGAAAAAATAATACATTTCGAAATTCGATCAATACGTATGTTTCATACTTGATAAGATAAATGTGTCAAATAAGCGAACTCTAAATGAAAAGGAGCATTCAATGTTACATTCAATCTCACAGTATAAAAATATTCAGATTACTGCGCAATTAATGTAATCTAATTGCATCCAGTTAATTTTTAGTGGCCCTTTATCTGACTCAAGTTTGATTGTTTTTGAGTGCTATTAAAATTTACATATCACCAATCCTCGTATAAAATTATCGACTTAAATCGCATTGGTGAATAACGGAATTAAATAAGGCAAATACTTTGTACACTCGTTGGTCGGAACAGACAATCAGAGAATTGCAGCGAAAAAGCGAAGAAAAGAGAACAAAGCGAAATGACATGCAGTGGAGATGGCGTGGGAACCAACTCCATTTAATCAAGCACTAATCGATATTTATAGTCACACAAAGATAAGCTACAGATATGTGATGAGTAGGATGAGGTGCACACACACGCTCATATGAAAAGAGTCAGCGATGATAAGTGATTAATTAACAAGTGTCAAAACGTGACTCAACAAAAATGGATAAATTCGCCTGTCCAGAAGCTAGAATAAGTTATATTGGCTTAACACAGTAACCAACACTATAAAGTAACAAGTGAAATTTGCAAGTTTTTTTTTCCGATTCAATAGTATTACTGTAATTAACTGAAACAAAAGAAATTATTAGTTATTCAACCTAAATTTCAGCTGGAAAATTGCTTTCATTCCCATATATATATATATATATATATATATATATATATATATATATATATATATATATATATAGATAGATAGATAGATAGATAGATAGATAGATAGATGATGGTTTTTGATAAATATTTATTCAATCGATGAATCGAACACCCTTTTAAACATATTATGATGCAAAGAAAACCAGTAGAACGAAACGATTAAAGAAAATATTTCTTTTTATCAATGATTATTTCTTCATGAATACCTTAAACTAATTTAATAATTTTACAATTACTAACAAAATAAATAACAATCAGTTGATCAGTAAATAATGATCATAAACTCCATATGAAAATTTAAGTAACTGATGAAAATAATAATGAATAATTCAAAAATAAGAACAGTTAGGTTTAAAGCCATTCGTTATTAC